TCTTTAGTTTCTCCTAACCCATGGCTGTTGTATTTCTTTGTGTAACTCTCCTGAGCCTCTTACTGACACAATTTTATTCTATCTTGCCAGGTAAATATGATGACACTCACAGCTGAGGAGCTCAGGAAGTACTTAAGGCCAGAAACTTGTGTTTGGGGTGGTGGTATGGGGGTGAGAGGGGTGGGGAATGTCAAGGCAGGAAGGCCTCGTTTGCTTCTTGTCCCCATCCCCAGTCGGAGCCCCTGCAGAGTGTGGTGGACCACATGGCCGCCCATCTCGGGGTGTCCCCAAGCAGGATCCTCTTACTCTTTGGAGAGACAGAGCTATCCCCCACGGCCACCCCCAGGACCCTAAAGCTTGGCGTGGCTGACATCATTGGTGAGAGGAAAGCAGGGAAGCGGGGCCTTGAGGAGGCTTTTGCCAGGGAAAGAGGCTCTGGGGCAAGGTCCAGAGAGGGCCCAGCTTCCAACCCCCCACTTAGGCCTGGCTTCTCCACCCTGCCTCCCACAGACTGTGTGGTGCTAGCGAGTTCTCCGGAGGCCACAGAGACATCCCAACAGCTCCAGCTCCGGGTTCAGGGGAAGGAGAAACACCAGATGCTGGAGGTCTCGCTGTCTCGAGTGAGTGGGAGAAATGGCTCCCCACCCCTTTCTTTCCTCTGTCGTCTCGTTTATCTTGTCAGTTAATGGAGGATGGATTCTTCCTAATCCTGACTCACTGGAGACACTGTCCTCCGTACTCTTGGGCTCCTGTCCATCCTAGCTAGTGGAAAAGCCCATTGTTCAACTCCCCACTGCTGGGAACCTCTGCTCTGGTCTGTGGGCCCTCAGTCTCCTGACTCCTAATGGTTAAAACAGCAAGGACCTTTGAACAGTAATCAATAAAACCCATCAAAATAACAATGATGGCCACATATCTAAGTGCCAGTCCCTGTGCTGGGGATAACTACTTCATGTTCAGGATATTATTTAACTTCACAGCAATCTATATGGGAAAGTCTGTTGTTACCCTCATTTAGTGAATGAATACTAAGGAAATTGAGAGGTCTAGAGAGGTGGAGTAACTTGCTGTGTTATCTTATAGCAACTGTAACAAAATAGCACAATCTGTGTGGCTTAAAACAGCAGAAATCTAGGCCGGGCGCAGTGGCTCATGCCTGTAATCCTAGCACTCTGGGAGGCCGAGGTGGGCAGATTGCTCAAGGTCAGGAGTTCGAAACCACCCTGAGCAAGAGCGAGACCCCGTCTCTACTATAAATAGAAACAAATTAATTGGCCAACTAATATATATAGAAAAAATTAGCCTGGCATTGTGGCACATGCCTGTAGTCCCAGCTACTTGGGAGGCTGAGGCAGGAGGATTGCTTGAGCCCAGGAGTTTGAGGTTGCTGTGAGCTAGGCTGACACCATAGCACTCACTCTAGCCTGGGCAACAAAGTGAGACTCTGTCTCAAAAAAACAAACAAACAAAAAAAAACAGTAGAAATCTATTCTCTTACAGTTCTGGAGCCTAGAAGTCTCAAATCAAGGTGTCAGCAGGGCCTTGCTCTCTCTGGGTAGAATCTTCTTGCCTCTCTCTTTTTTTCTTAAGCAGATGGGATCTTGCTCTGTCACCCAGGCTGAAGTGCAGTGGCACAATTATAGCTTGCTGTAGCCTTGAACTCCTGGCCTCAAGTTATCATCCTGCCTCAGCCTCTTGAGTAGCTGGGACTACAGGCACAAAACCACTGTTTCTCATTGGATTAGTGCCCACCCTGATCAAGTATGGCCTCATCTTAGCTTGATTACATCTGCAAGGGCCCTACTTCCAAATAAGGTCACATTCACATTTACCAAGGGTTAGGACCACAACGTGTCTTTTTTTGGGGAAGTGGCTCAACCCATAACAGTCTGCTCTCTAGCCTCCCAAAATACATAACCTTCCCACATGCAGAATATATTCACCCCATTCCAAAAATCCTCAAAAGTCTTAACCCATTCGAGTATCAACTCTAAGTCCAAAATCTCATCTAAATATTATTAACTCAAAAAGTCCCAGTCTTATCTTCTAAATCTTCAGTCCCTAACCCCTGGACTGTGGACCAGTACCAATCCACAGCTTTTAAGGAAACACTCCCCACGCCCCAGTCCATGGAAAAATTGTCTTCCATGAAACCCATCCCTGGTGCCAAAAAGGTTGGGGACTGCTGTTCCAAATCATCTAAATCAGTCATGGGTGAGACTCGGGACAAAATTCCCCTTCCTGGGACAAAATTCCCCTTCATCTGTGGACAAAATTCCCCTTCCTGGGACAAAATTCCCCTTCATCTGTGGACCCATGAAATTTAGCAAACAAGTTATCTGTTTCTAAAATACAATGATGGGACAGGCATAGGATAGACATTCCCATTTCAAAAGGGACAAATAGGAAAGAAAAAGGAGTCACAGGTCCCAAGCTAGTCCAAAACCCAGCAGGGTAAATCCTATTAGATTTCAAGGATTAAAAATAATCTTTTGCTTTGTTCTGTCCTCTGGGCCTAGTGGAATGGTGGCCCCACTCTCTTGACCCAAGTAAGTCTTATCAGCCCAATCTCTGGGCCTGTGGCTCTGCCCTTGAGTCACTTTTCCTTCATTTTGTCGTGTCCCTGTCTCTTTCGTTCCAGGTAGACAGTGTTTATGCTGGTATACAGTTTTCAAAACCTTATTAGTCTTCTGTGCATATCAAAGGGATCCACACCTTAGACAAAGATGAAGTCCTGACTTTTGCTGACATGGTTGATTGGATCCATAAGTCAGCCATCTACTCTCTTTAGCAAAAAGCTACAGTCTTGGCCCTCTTTCCAGGACATATTCTGGATAGGCTGAGAATGTTCCAAATCACCACGCACTGCTTCGTTTTTGCTTAACATCCTTCCTCTGTTTATTTCTTTCTCTTGCATTTTGCAAATAAGGAACAAGGAGAAATCAAGTCGTACCTTCCATACTTTGCTTGGAAATCTCCAGAAGACATCTGGGTTCATCACTTACGAGTTCTACTTTCTGCCACTGAATGGTAGAACATAATTCAGCCAAGTTCTCTGCCACTTTATAACAAGGATCAGCTCATTTTACTCCAGCTTCCAATAATATATGCCTTATTTCCACCAGAGGCCTCATTGGAAACACCTTTTTTTTTTTGAGACAGAGTCTCGCTTTGTTGCCCAGGCTAGAGTGAGTGCCGTGGCATCAGCTGAGCTCACAGCAACCTCAAACTCCTGGGCTCAAGCAATCCTGCTGCCTCAGCCTCCCGAGTAGCTGGGACTACAGGCATGCGCCACCATGCCTGGCTAATTTTTTCTCTATATATTAGTTGGCCATTAATTTCTTTCTTTTTTTTTTTTTTTTTGAGAAAGCACGATTTTATCCAGCAGAGATGATGCCTTGGGCGTCACACATACACAACACCTCAAACCCCTGCCAAGACATACCTCCTCCCAGCCTCCCAGTAGCTGGGACTACAGGCATGTGCCACCATGCCCGCTAATTTTTTTATATTATATATCAGTGGCCAATTAATTTCTTTCTATTTATAGTAGAGACGGGGTCTCGCTCTTGCTCAGGCTGGTTTTTGAACTCCTGACCTTTGAGCAATCCGCCCGCCTCGGCCTCCCAAGAGCTAGGATTACAGGCGTGAGAATTTCTTTCTATTTTATAGTAGAGACAGGGTCTTGCTCTTGCTCAGGCTGGTTTCGAACTCCTGACCTCGAGCAATCTGCCCGCCTCGGCCTCCCAGAGTGCTAGGATTACAGGCATGAGCTACCCACTGCGCCTGGCCTGGAAACACCTTTAACGTTCATATTTCTTTTTTCTTTTTTTTTTTCTGAGACAGAGTCTCGCTTGTTGACCAGGCTAGAGTGAGTGCCATGGCGTCAGCCTAGCTCACAGCAACCTCAAACTCCTGGGCTCAATCAATCCTTCTGCCTCAGCCTCCCGAGTAGCTGGGACTACAGGCATGCGCCACAATGCCCAGCTCAATTTTTTATATTATATATTAGTTGGCCAATTAATTTCTTTCTCTTTATAGTAGAGACGGGGTCTTGCTCTTGCTCAGGCTGGTTTCGAACTCCTGACCTTGAGCAATCCGCCCGCCTCAGCCTCCCAGAGTGCTAGGATTACAGGTGTGAGTCAATATTTATATTCTCTTAAGACCATAGAACCTTTCTCTGTAGCTCTTCTCATTGTGAGCCCTCATCCAAATTGCTTTTAATGTCCATATTTCTACCAACAGTCTCTTCAGCGTACTCTAGGCTTTTTCTAATGTGCACCTCACAATTCCTCCAGCCTCTATCCAATTCTAAAGCCACTGCTCATTTAGGTAGTTATTACAGAAGCACCCTACTTCTGTGTTTTGGCTGCTAGAACAAAGTACCACAAACTGGGTAGGTTAAAACCACAGAAGTTTATTGTCTCATTGTCTCTAGAAGTCTAAAATTAGGTGTCAGCAAGGTCATGGCTTCTTATGACACAGGAGAAAAAAGCTCAGTTTTTTCTATACTCTCAAAATACGCTTCTGACACCAGATGTGTGTGAGTTTTCCCCCCGCACATCAAGCAAGCAATCAATTCTGTAGGGGATACCATATTTCCTTTTTTTTTTTTTTCATATTTCCTTTTAATTCAATTCTGACACTGCCTACCTGGAGATGGCATGAGACCACACACAGTGCAGTCTTAATTCCCACAAGACTGGCGCGCCACCACTTCCCATGCAAATTGCAAGCCCCACAAATATGGGGAAGCTCTCCAAACCTAGTCCTTTTTTTTTTTATGGAAGCTCCATTATGTGGGCACGATTGATTAAATCACTGGCCATTAGTGATCAGCTCAGCCTTTAGCCCCTCTTCCTTGTCTGGAGGATGGGGGTGGGGCTAAAAGTCCCCTTCAAATCCTGCCTTGGTCTTAGCATTGGCCAGCCCCCATCCTAAAGCTACCTAGGGGCTACCCACCACCAGTCAACCCATTAGCATCCAGAAAGACACAACACTTTGAAGATTCCAAAAGTTTAGGAATTTTATACCATGAAATGTATGAAGACCAGATACATGTTTCACAATATCACATGGTCCCTCTGAGACTCTGGGTAGAATTCTTCCTTATCCCTTTCTAGCTTCTGATAGTGGCCAGCAGCCCTTGGCACTCCTTGGCTTGCAGCTGCATCACTCCAGGCTGCGTCTGTCATCACATGGCTCTTCCCTGTGTGTCCCTGTCTGCGTCTGTTTTACAAGTACACCAGCCATTGCATTAGCTCCCATCCTAATCATGCATGACCTCATCTTAACTTCAGTTACATCTGCAAAGGCCCTATTTCCAAATAAAGTCTTGTTCACGTTTACCAAAGATTAAGACCACAAGGTATCTTTTTCTTTTGTGTTTCATAAGGTATCATTTTGCAGGCTGGGAGGGCACAATTCAACCACTATCATTTGTCTGAGGTCACACATCTAGTAAGCAGGAGGGCCTGGTCTCCAGCTTGGCTGCCTCACTCTCATTGTTGTGATATGTGCTTCCATTTTATAGGTGAGGAGATTGAAACTTGAAGAACTTGCCTAACTCAGATCCTACGCCCCGAACCTTGGGCTTGAGGCCCCCACTTTATCTGAGGAACAGGCAGCCCAGAGGGGTGAAGGGGCTCCTCCTGGTTCCCAGAGAGTGCTGTGCTGTGCTGTGCTGGCTTCTTAGTTCACTCACTTTTCCCCCGTGGGGCTCTGGCTGCATTGATTTGGCCCCTTGTCCTCTCTGTCCCAAGTTCTCTGTCCCTGCAGGATCTTCCCAGCCCCTCCATTCATATTCTCACATCCACTTTTCTCTCCTTCCAGGACTCTCCTCTCAAGATCCTCATGTCCCACTATGAGAAGGCCATGGGACTGTCAGGACACAAGCTCTCCTTCTTCTTCGATGGGACAAAGCTTTCAGGCAGAGAGCTACCGGCTGATCTGGGCATGGAATCTGGGGACCTCATTGAGGTCTGGGGCTGAAACTCCACACCCTGTTTGGAGACCCAGCTTGGACTTGGGGAGAACATCTCACAGGGCTGGCAGGAGCTCGGGTGGAAGGTAGCTTTTAGCTGAAGCAAAATCAAGGAGTGACCTTTGACCCCCTCTCCTGCTGACCCTGGTTTCAAGCCGTTAACTACTTGGTTAGTTGTGTGGTTGTTGTTGCTGCCCTGGGTGGCTTGTTAGTCTCATTTGGGAGTTAGGAGTGATGTTTATTTGAGGCACATACACTGGGTGGTTCCTTGGCTTTCAGGAAAATAAATGATCACACACCCATTGGCTTAAGCATAAGCAGCTTCTGGGATGCTCTTTTGAACGACAGAGGTATAGGACTTTTAGCCCTGGGCATCTTCCTCTCCTCAAGGACCCTTTAGAGCCATCCTTTTAGTGTACTCTTCCTGGTGCATGCCTTCAAGGCATAGCTGAGCACATTTAGTTGTTTTATTTTGGATCTTGGGAATATGGTCCCATGCAAGGATTCTCTGGTTTTATGGCTTTCCTTTCCTTCACAACATTCTGTCTTTAAGCGCTCAAATTAATACATTTGTTACTTATCTTTGAATATGAATGTAAAATACAATATTTTATGTGTGAATATATGCTTTTAATGCACATAGCGGTGTTGTGCAATAGAACTTGTATTGTTTGCCCTCAATATGCATTAAGATCTAGAATTTTTCACACAATCACAGATAAAAGAATGTTTATCCTGGCCTATTCTAGACATGGGTCATTGGTTTAATCTGCCTCGTGGTACTCCACTGTGGCATTGATTGCATTTACACACACTGCCTTAAGTGGCAGACACCTGGGTGCCTCCAACTCCTTGGCACCATATACAAGGCCACGATAAACATTCTTTTATCCGTGATCGGGTGAAAAATTCTCTGGCATACATTCCCAGGATGGGATTACAGGCCATGTAGGTTAATTTCTCTATGGTTTTCCAAATTTTTCTTTAGAATAGTGATTGACGCACTTAGGGCTTCTTTCTCCTAATTTTCTCACTGGCACTTGGCATTGCCCAACTTTCTAATTTTCACCAGTCTGATGGGTATAAAAGGGCACTGTGCTTTAATGTACATTCATCTGATCACCGTTAATTTGTGGGATTTTTTTCACCTGTCAGCCTTTCTAGTTTCTCTTTCTGTGACCTGCTCATTTTCTCCTGAGGGGCTTCCTGTCATTTTTGGTTTATTCTCAGGAGTTGCTAGTATATTCCTGGGCGACTGCAAATAACTCTTGGAATGGAAATTTGTTTGTGTATCTGAGGTTGTCCTTCACCTAACAGAAATTCTTTAATGTAGATGATTTAACTATTTTGTCTTAAAGTTTGTTGGTCTCTGATTTCTTATTTAAAAGTTGTTAAGGTACTTTGCATTTTCTTCTGTTAGCTCATTAGTTTTTCCTTCCTTTAGTGGAGGCCACTAAATAGAGCTGAAGTCCAGCTAGTGCCCCCTGGGGTGGTGCATTGGCTGCATCTGCTCTGAGTGGTCACTTGTTCTGTTTGTTTGGTGTCAGGCTATACTAGTTGCTAAACATTGAATATCACTTTAAAACTATTTGAAATGCACCTTTGTGAGATCTATGTTATATTTTTTACCATATAATGAGCCAGTTTTCTCAGTACTGTCTACTAAAAAAGCCATTAATCTTCCACGGATATGTGGCCTAATTTTAGCAATAGTATATCAACTTCTTAAAAAATGTTTTTTATTGGAATGTGGCATTCCTTTGAATTTTATAACATTTCAATAATCCAGAATATGGTGTAGCTGTCCATTGTTTCAGTTCTTTTATGTTCATTAATAAGTTTGAACACATTAAAATTATGTATTCAATCTCAACAGAATAAATGCGAATACATTCAACTTGTGTATACTTGAGGATTTCTGTGTTTGTGGCCTTCATATGACTCCCCTGTAATATCTTTGTGGCAGAGACCATGAGTTATTCCTTTATATCTGTTCTTTCTCCTAAGGTACTAGAACCTGTACTCTTTGGTGTTTTTTTTTTTTTTTTTCTGAGACAAAGTCTTACTCTGTCATCCAAACTAGAAGTACAGTGGTATTATGATCATAGCTCACTATAGCCTCAAACGCCTGGGCTTAGGTGATCCTCCTGCCTCAGCCTCCTGAGTAGCTGGGACTACTACCATGAGCCACCATGCCTGGCTAATTTTTAAATTGTTTTGTAGAGATGGGGTCTCACTATATTGCCCAGGCTGGTCTTGAACTGGCCTCAAGTGATCTTCCAGCTTTGGCCCACCAAAGTGCTGGAATTACAGGTGTGAGCCAATGCACCTGGCCCTAGAACCCATGGTTTTTAGTGAAGCACAGAAACACTCAATAAAGACAGTATTTCCTACCCTCTGTCAGAGCTAGACAAGTATCCATTCAGGCTCCTGCTGTAAGTAGAAGGGCACCACTTCCCAGTGTCCCTAGCGGGCAGTATGTGTCCCCCTCCTTCGCTTGCTGACTGGAAGTGGAGGAGCCCTACTGATGTGAGGTGACCTCAGAAATGGAAGCCATGTAGGGCAGGACACGAGAGGTGGAGCCTGGGCCTCAGCCACTATGTAGTACCTCACCAGCCACGCAGTGCTGCCCTCTGGGCTTTTATATGAAAGAGGGACTTCTGTCGTGTTTAAATCACTGTTACTTTAGAGTTTCTGTCACTTGTAACCAACCCAGTTCTAACCCAGTATGTCACTATTGCAAGCACTCTCATATTGTTCCTCTTTGGGTACCTGTGTTAGATTTTTCTCAGAGGTTTCTATCCAGGAGAAAAACTACCTGTCATTAGTTGAATGTGCACCTACCCAGCTTCTCTTGAATACTGTCAGGTTGCTAAGCAAAGTGGCCGGGCCCCTTTGTAAGTCCATTAGCAAGTGCAAGAAGGTTCCAGTTTCCCCATACCTTCTTCAAACTTAGCAGGATATGGGAAAAACTACTTATGGTTAAAGAATTTGCACTTCTATGATGAGAGTTCATTCTTTCACATATCTAAAAGACTTACATTGGGTGATCTTTCTAAAACTCTCCTGGAGACCTTTGAAACTTTAATGAGCCTTTTACTGGGTGTCATATACCAAGCTGGTCACTTTTCACCATCTCATTCATCCTTAGAGCAATCCTACGAGGTAGGTGTTGTTATTCCCATTTTACAGAAGAGGAACAGAAGCTCAGATGAATTAGCCTGCCCCAGACCACACGGCCATGCACTGCAGAGCCAGGTGTAGACACAGGTGGGCCTGACAAACGGCTGAGGAAGAATCTTCAGCAGTTCCCACGCTTGCATGTGCACACAAGTTGTCTGGGGATTGGTCAGGTGCACATGCTGCATCAGCAGCTCTGGGGTGGGACCTGAGATGCTGTATTTCTAACAAGCTCCCAGGTGGTATGACGAAGCTGACCCCACCTGGAGTAGCAAGATGCCATTTTCCCTTTTTTCTATATCCCTTTATGATCTCCCATGTCCACCCCTGCTATGCCCTCCAACTCAGGGGTCAGTTCCCTCCCTGAGCCCTGCCAGAGGACTGATCACACCCTCTTGTGTGTCCCACATCACATGGAACGGGGCTAGCACAGCACACTCACCTGCTTGTCCAGATCTTGCTTCCCTGCTAGACATAAGCTCCTTGAAAACAAACACTCTTGTTCTTCTCGAAGATCCCTTGCTCAGTATCTGACACAATAGATACCTAACAAATGTTTGTTGAATGAGTAAGTTCCCTGTTGACAGACATGCAGGTTTTTTTTCATTTTGGGGCTATTCTGAATAATGCTTCTCAAAGTATATCACGACCATACATCTCATTGCACGAGCTGGAAAAGCTTCACTCGCAATGTCTCTCATCCCCCTTCACCCAGTCAGCTGCCCAGCTCGCTCCCAGATCAGTTCTCTTCTGTCCCTCTCTGTGGGGACAAAAGTGACTTTATTTTTAAATGTTAATCCACCTGACCTAACCCCGAGTCTGGGAATGCCTCCAAATGTCTAGTTGATGTGTTACTTTTTATGTAGGAAAACCCTATTCACTCTAAGTAAATTTTGCTTTTCCTCCAAAACAACCCTTGATGTTGTTACATGTGTCATAGGCTGTGACACCCATAGCCACCTACACATTCCTTCCAGAGCACAAATACTTTTCCCCTCAAGATATAAGCTCTGAATCTGGGGGTTGTGGTGCAGAGATCTACTTGTCTTATGGCCAGCGAAGACCATGCTTCTGTCCATGAGTTTCCCCTAATAAATCACCCTGTACTGACACATTGGATTGTCCACCTCCTTCTCTGGTTTCTCAGCTCCTTTCAACATTTGGGGGGTCACTTTGCATATATGGCCTTTTCATGGAACACTCCATCCCACCCCAGGCCAGGCCACCACTGCCTGCAGCCTCAGCTAGTGCCACAGCCTTCTCACAGATCACTCTACTTCCCCTCTGGCCCCTCCAATCCATCTTCCCTGCTGCAGCCAGAGTGATCTTCTCAAATGCAAATCTGATTTTCAAATGAAGGAAAGCTTTACCATGGCTTAGCGCAGCCTAGCAGTCTCCTTCCCTCTCTCACCACTCTCCATGTGACCTCCTTTCAGATCCTGTGTTCATCATGCTTCCTTCTGTCAACAGGGCCTTTAGACACTCTTCTCCTCCACCTGGAATGTTCTTCCTTCCCCCTTGGTGTAATTATTGCTCCTGCTCTAGTCTGAGCTCAAGAACCACATCCCCAGAGACACTCCAACCCTCCCTGACCAGGTTTTAAAACACCTACGTGCTGAACTTTTTTTGTGGCACTTGTCACAGGTGGACTTTTTTTTGAAGAAATTTCACAAGTGCTTAGATTTCATGAATCACAATTTCCAAAGCAAATACAGTAAAAGTTGGGCTCCACTTTAAACCAATTAGGCCTATACAGACATATTTATCTGAACTTAAGGGAATTTTAATCAAGAGATCCATCAAATTAAAAAAACACTTGTACTTAGAGAAGAGCCTAATATTTTGCCCATTTGGCAAAACCAATTAGCATTATAATATTTGCTTTTATACCCAGAAAGTTTTATTTTTATTAATGTCCAGTGGTACCATGTTTGGACATAGGCTTTTTCTTTTTCACTTATTATAGTTTAATTTTTTTTTTGAGACAGAGTCTCACTTTGTTGCCCAGGCTAGAGTGAGTGCCGTGGCGTCAGCCTAGCTCACAGCAACCTCAAACTCCTGGGCTCAAGCGATCCTACTGCCTCAGCCTCCTGAGTAGCTGGGACTATAGGCATGTGCCACCATGCCCGGCTAATTTTTTTTATATATATTTTTAGTTGTCCAGATAATTTCTTTCTATTTTTAGTAGAGACGGAGTCTTGCTTTTGCTCAGGCTGGTCTCGAACTCCTGAGCTTAAACAGTCCACCTGCCTTGGCTTCCCAGAGTGGTAGGATTACAGGCGTGAGCTACCACGCCAGGCCTACTCATTTAAAAAATTGTGTTTTTGTCTTATTTAGTTTGAAAAGTTGTTTTTTTTTTTCTGAGACAGAGTATTGCTGTTGCCCTGCATAGAAGGCAACAGCATCATCATAGCTCACAGCAACCTCAAACTCCTGGGCTCAAGCGATCCTCCCGCCTCAGCCTCCCGAGTAGCTGGGACTACAGGTGTTCACCATTACACCCACCTAATTTTTTCTATTTTTGGTAGAGACAAGGTCTCACTCTTGTTCAGGCTGGTCTCCAACTCTTGACCTCAAGCAATCCTCCTGCTTTGCCTTCCCAGAGTGCTAGGATTACAGGCATGAGCCACCATGCACAGTCTCATGAAAAGTTCTTTACATATCTGGATACAAGTCCTTAAGCAGATACATGCTTGCAAATATTTTCTTCTGATCTGTGACTTGCCTTTTCATTTCACAAGTGCAATTTTACATGTGTATTGATAACTGTCTCCTCCAGATAAACTCCAAGAAAGAAGAGACTAAGTCAGCTTTTGCCTGACACCTGGCAAAATGCCAGGCACATATTAATAGTAGCTGTTCAATACTGTTTTATGGAGGGGATTAAATAACTATAATCTGAAGTTCTCCCTGTCCACCAAGGGAGACCAGGCTTAAAGTTCTGAAACAAGAGATATCTCCTGGGGGCAACAACAACCAGGAGTATTCAGGACTCAAAATCGTTTCTAATAAGGCATTTTGAGGGTCCCATGCTGTCTCCGTGAAACTCCAGAATTTCAGTAAAGGGGCTTAGAGTTCTGGTTGGAAGAGGGGTCTTGCAGCTGCATTTGCATGTAACTACACTAACTTTTCTTAGACTGCTTCTTGTTTACTAGATAAGCTTGGAGACTATGGAAGGGCCGGCCACTAAAGAACCACTCCCAGACACTCTTTGGTGCCCCGTCTCCTGAGCCCCTGCCTGCCCCACACGCGACCACAGGAGGGCGCCAGGGCGCACAGGGTTGGAGTGAGGAAAACTTGCCCAGCGGTGGGGACGCTTCCTTCAATAAATATATAATGTCCACTTGGTCCGGCGCTCACCGGTAGCGACACCTTGCCCACAGCCGGCACTCATAGTCCGCAGGACAGTTTGTGCTGTGCATTGACGACGAATCCGTTTTGCTCTTGTGTGATGAGGAAAGCTTTAAAGCACTGAAAGCTTGTTTTACTTTACAGGCGGCTTTACTTGTAAATCAGAACAGCTAACATATACATATATGTTTTCATTACGGTATTTTTAAATGTTCACAATTTTATTTTGATAAATGAAAAATTTGATAAATGAAAAGTCAATTCAAAATTACAGACTAATGTCGACACTCGGCTGTGCCCCTTCCTACCACGGCTATATCGCTGCGCGCCTCATCTGTGGCCGTGGACTATAGTCACGCTCCTACGGAAGTGGTTAGTAAGCGTCCCCGTGAAGGCTCGGGGACTCAGGGTTGGGGAGTCCGAGGAGAGGGAAGGGGGCCCCGGCCCAACCTTCATTCATTCAACATTACTGAGTGGCCGCCGAGCGGACACGAGGAGGAAGACAGAAGGATTTCCGCGAGGCAGGACTACTTACGGGCATTTCTAGAGACATGCACTATTTCCAAAGCCTTTTGAGATCTCATGATCTCGTTGGATCCAGCAGGCCGCCAAGTGGGCGTTCCAGATAAGGCGAGTGAGATGCGGAAGGGATGGGCGACTCCGCCACGTCAGGGACGCCCCTCAGGTTTGAGGTCTCCGCGGGGAGAGCGGCCGGGTTGCGCTGGCGCCCAGCCAGCTGGGGCTTCCGGGCTGCAGGGTCTGGGACCAGGTCACTGGTTACCCCGGCGACCGGTCGGCAGTCACGTGACGCGGGAGCACGGCAGGATGCCCAAGAGGCTTCCGTAGGCGGGCGGGCGGTCACGTGTGGGGGGCTTGTTGGCTGGGACACCTTCCCGCCGGCTCCGGTGTCACATGACCGGCTCAAAGCCAACATGGCGGCTGCCGTGGTGCAGCGCCAGGACTGAGCGACAGCGACTGCAGTGGGCTCCTACCTGGGGTGAGGGGTGGCCTCAACGTGGGATGGGGGATCGCGTCCTCCGCAGTGCCCGACGTCACCTGAATTCCACACGCCGCCTCTGCGCAGTGTGTCAACTGAGATGGGGAGGCGTGACAGGGCCCGGGTCCCTTCCCACCCGTATTCTGTGCTTCAGGGCCAGCTCCTACGGGTCTCCGGGTGCACTCCCCTCGCCTGGGCTCCCTCCATCTTCCTTTTTCCACCTTCCTCTCTTTCCAGGTGAGATCGTCGGTGGGACCGGAGCGCGGGCGGGCGCGGTCCCCCGGGACTATGGCCGGGTCCGACACTGCGCCTTTCCTCAGCCAGGCGGATGACCCGGACGACCGGCCGGTGCCCGGCACCCCGGGGTTGCCAGGATCCATGGGGAACCCGAAGTCCGGAGAGCCTGAGGTCCCGGACCGGGAGGGGCTGCAGCGCATCACAGGCTTGTCTCCAGGCCATTCGGCTCTCATAGTGGCCGTGCTGTGCTACATCAACCTACTGAACTACATGGACCGCTTCACCGTGGCTGGTAGGTGAAACTTCTGGGAGGAAGATAACCAGGAGAAAGGAAGGGGGTCCCGTGGATGGAGCTGCTTCGCCGGCCTATCCCTGAGTCTCCTTTCCAGGTGTCCTTCCGGACATTGAGCAGTTCTTCAACATCGGAGACAGCAGTTCTGGCCTCATCCAGACCGGTGAGTAGAGGCAGCTCTGCTTCCTTTCCTACTGCAACTGGGGCCATGTGCTGTCCTGCCTGGGGCCTCATTAATGGGGTTTAGTGGCCAGAGCTGGGGGAGGTGATAGCTCTGATTTTGCTCTGTGCGTGTTCTGTTTAGCCAGGACACCACATTTAAAGAGGGAGTCAGTTTAGCTAATGGTGAAGACAGACCTGGGTTTAAATCTCAGCTCTTCCTTACTGTTCCAGGGTAGGCAAGGCACTCAACCTCTCTAAGCCTCATTTTTCTTGTCTATGAGATGGAACTAGTAGTAACACAGGTCATCTCGTAAGGCTGATGTGAGGATTAAATGAAATGCCTTTGAAGTGCCTAGTGCTGTGTTTGGCACATGGTAGGCACCCAATAAATAATGGGAGGAGAGGGTGTCTAGACCAGAGGGGAATTTTTTCTTGTTCAGAAATCTGGGTTGCAGGAGAGGCAAAGCCAGAGCCATGTCCTCTCTTCCTTCCTTCCCTCCTTTGTTCATTTCTCAAACGTTTCTGAGAACCCACTATGCCAGGCCCTGGAGTCTATAAAAGAAAGAAATTAATTGGCCAACTAATATATATGAAAAAAAAATTAGCCTGGGCATGGTGGCATGCCTGTAGTCCCAGCTACTCGGGAGGCTGAGGCAGTAGGATTGCTTGAGCCCAGGAGTTTGAGGTTGCTGTGAGCTAGCGGACGCCACGGCACTCCACTAGCCTGGGCAACAAAGTGAGATTCTGTCTCAAAAAAAAATTAAACTATAATAAGGGAAAAATGAAAAAAGCCTATGTCCAAACATGGCTGTACCACTGGACATTAATAAAATAAAGACTTCTGGGTATTAAAAGCAAATATGTTTATTAATGCTATTGGGTTTGTGCCAAATGGCAATAATATTTAGGCGTCTTCGCTCTAATACAAGTGTTTTTTAATTTGTTATGGATCTTTGAGTTAAAATTCCCTTTAAGTTCAGATAAATATGTCTGTTATAGGCCTAATGGTTTAAAGTGGAGGCCCAACTTTTACTGTTATTCTTTGAATTGTATTTCGCATGAAATCGTAAGCACTTGGAAATTCTTCAAAAAAAAGTTCCACCTGTGACAAGTGCCCA